TGCAACTTGTTTGAGCAATTAGTGGCAGCCAGATGCCTAACATTTGTGTTTTTTGATGCAAACTCTCTATGTTATGACAATGTTCAAAGCATGTTCCACGAATTGGGAGGCCCTTTCAAATTTTTTTTCATGTGACCCTTCAACCATAATGTGTATATATATATATATATATATATATAAATATTCATATATTGAGAAGGCTAAAATGGAAGATCAAGGCGTTATTTTTCCTATTAATAAAGAAAGCTTATTGATTGAAGAGAAAAGTTGTAATTCTCAAGTGATAAATGTCCATCTCCAATCAATATCATTTTTTTATTTTTTAAAAATATCAAATAAAATAAAATAAAAAATAAAAAAATGATATTGACTTTTTATATATAAAAAATAAGTGAAGATGAATGAAAAGTCAATATCAATTTTTTTATTTTTTATTTTATTTTGAATGATCAGAAAGTTGTTAGGAATATATAAAAATAAAAATCCAAGTAATAACCTTTTTAGCCAAGTTAATTAAAAATAAAAGAAATCATGTATACACCCACATAACTTCTTCGCATCTAGTCTTAAAAAAAATCATCTTATATTCCACAGCATCCACACATTGAGTCACAACTTTCAGTATATTTTTTCTCCCACCACTAAACAGCATTGCGTAAAACCAACTCTTCGAACCCACAAGACCCAAACATCTTTACAAATCCACACATTTCTTAGCAAAACTCTTCATCCTTTCCTGCATTTGGTTGTATATTGTGAGCAGTTTTTCGAACCTGAAACTGGGTGGAACCACAACATGTGATAGGCAAAACCTGTGCAGTTGATTAGCACAACTGGGTAGGATTAGAGCAGTAGCAAATCAAAGCCAACCAAGCCGGCTGACTAATGCAAATGGGGCAGGATTAGGACAAAATCTCACAAGCAAATCGCCGAAGAGTGTATTTGAGAGACAGTCTGTTTTTTCTGTGGGATTGTCGGTGGGCCGCCTCGTCACCGTCTACATCGGACCGTTCACGGCGTTGCTTCAGAGAGCTATGAAAGCGCGCCCAGAAATCATGCAACCTCCCTCCCCTTGCAAGTTAAAACGGCGGCGGAATTCCCAAGGCGGAGACAAAGGGCCCTCTCATCATAACCCGCTTGCAGCTCACAGCTCCTCACGAAGCGCACGCACACACACACACACAGCCTCATACACACTCTTATACTTCCTCATTTTCTCTCACTTGCTGTCGCCGCCACTGGCACCCGCCGGCGCCTGTTTCAGCAGCAGCAAGCACCAGATCTGTGACAGAGATGGCCTACACTTGAAGTTAGTATGCGCGGGCGCGCGGCCCCCTCCCCCGATGAGTGGCGCGCGCGGGGACTGTCACGCAGCTGAATGGTCAGATCCGGGGTGCGGCGCATGGGATTGTACAATTGCAGTTGAGCTGGAGGACTGGGATTGTCATGGATCCAAGGGGACCACCTGACGACCCTATTATCCTGTGGGGTGGGGTGTTATTGGTACAAGCGCTATGACTTGTGGGGAGAGAGATCTTTGCAGGTAGACATGGAAGGAGGTTGATCGTTGTGATTGTGGTTCCGTGGGCTATGGTTTTGGGTAGGTTTGAGATCTGAAAACTTGCTGGGGTCGGTGAAGGGTCCTTGTTACGACTGAGCTTTCGAATCCAACTCTGTGTATCGTCAGCTTTGGTGTGTGTGTATGTGGTATCAATGCTGCCCTGGCCCAATCGTTGCTGCATATCATTGCTCGATCACGTCGTGTGGGTGGATCATCTTCTCGGTGTGTGATAGCTGGTGCTGTACATTTGCAAGGAGGGAAGAGGAAATTTGTTTGGAGGGAGGCTTGCGTAGAGAAAAGCGAGAGAGAGAGAGAGAGAGAGAGAGAGGGAGAGAGAGAGATTACTGGATGAGGTCTTGTCAATTTTGGGGAGGGGGGATTTTGATGCGCATCGTGGCGCATTCATGAGCGGCGTGGGATGATGTTTGTCGTGGGGAGATTGATTATCGACATTGATGTGGAAAGATACTAGATGCTCTCAACGCGTATCTGGGGTGAGGTTGGTGCGAGCGGTAGTAGACTTGTGATGGGATGCAGAGGTTGTCACATCTCGTTTTTCAGCTGCTTTCTTTCGTTCATTTTCACTTCTTTTCTTAGAGAAGTGCATCTTTCACGCCTTCTGAAGTGGGGTAGTTGAGAATTTAATGCAACGATGAAGTTCTGCTCCGCGTGACTCGTGCAACTGGTTTTTCGCATTGAGGGTGGTGGAGGTATTTCCACTGTCAGACTTCTTGACAAAAATTGAATTTGACGCGTTCTCACTTAATGCATTCCTACAATAGATTCCGTTATACCCTTCCGCAGTCCAGTTTTAAACCGTTAAAGACTGTAATTTCTGCTGTGAAGAAGTGCACTGAATTGGTCAATTTCCAGGATTAATAGTTAGTTACGCGGTTAGATGGTGTGAACTGGTCGGCTTTGATCTCCTCTTTGCTATTCGGAAGATTGCATTTTGTTTTTCAGTCGCTTGATACTCTCAACAAGCAGGAGACCTTCTCTTGTGCATGGTTTTCACAAACAATTGATTCATTTCGTGAACACAAGTACAATTTTCCTTCCATCAAGAACTTGCTTCATCACAAACCACTTTTGTGTCAATACGCAGGGATTTGAATTTACTCGAATGCGGAATCAGATTTCATGATATCCATAAATTCTTCGTATATCTGATTGTTTTTGTGAGGTTTTAGCGTCCAACATTGAGATTGAGACGCCTGCGACTCAAGTCGATTGAGTAAAAACACTGCAGTTCAAAATGCCTAGTCTGGGAGCCGTGAGACGCTCAGGCAGCATGGAGACCTTACGTCAATCCCCATCTCTTTGTCGCGCTGCCGACGTGCTTTATTTGCTCGGTCGTGGCGCCCAGCTTGAGCATCTTCACATGATAAATGTACAGTATGCATCTCATCAACCGGGCCCTACTTTTAAAGGTATTCAGCCTACACCCATTTTTTATAAAAATCATTTAGTCACTTTTTTTAATCTTTTTTCTATTTTTTTCGCATCTAGACTGGATTTCTTTTCACAGCTAGACTACATTTCTCTTCAGAGACATGAATTCATGTTTGGAGTTGTGTTTTATAAAATCTCGCTCTATCTTTTTCTCTCGCGCGCTCGCGCGCACGCACACTCACACACACGAACATATATATATGCCTGATTTTCTTGCAAGTGGTGGTTTCTGTGAGTTTGTCGATGACGTATACCTGCTATGAGAATGAGCGGACTTGTGCTTAAACACTGGCTTAAAGATTATTGGGCTTCTGTGCTCCACAATTAAGACTTTTTGGCGTTTCAGATGTAAAAAATCGTTTAATCGCGCTGCGCGGCAGCGGAATGCCAGGCTCGTTTTCTTGGTCTTACAAAAGGTATTAATCTCCTTTTAAATTCGAACCCCCTTGTTTGTTTTTTGAGTTGATCTCATTGAATGACGAGGTAGACTGAAACTAGGTAATTTCAACGTGTGAATGGGTTGCTAAATTATCAAAAACAGTTCTGCTTAAATTGGCACATCCTCTTGTGACCTACAACTGTGAGGTCCTTGATGATGAAACAGGAATTACAAGGACACGTTCATCTGGTGCGATTTGTTCGACGATGATTTCATTCTCCCTCTTTGCGAGACTGGCGAGTATGTCTTGAAAGCTTTGGAACTCTTCAATGCGTCGCAAGGTGCGTTAGAGAATGAAATTTGCTGGTTTATCACAGCCTGCAATAGATTATGATTGATTCTCTGTGGCATGATTTTTCAACTAGCTTGCACAGGGAAAGCAGATATAGTACGACTTATTCTCTGTTTCTCCTTTGCGCTGTGGCAGATAAAGATGTCGAATGTAAAGAGTTACACATGCCAACACAATCCCTGCCCATTAGGAATTCTAGAGTCAGTAGCCCAGTCAAGCCATTAAGATCTTCTACTTGGGAAGAGCAATTTGACTTAGAAAGCGAAGTCTCCATGGCAATCAAGAAGAGTTTGATCCTCATTAGTGATGCTGGTAATGTCACCTTTGACAGCAGCTTGAACTTGAGCAAGCAGACTATGAATAAACTTTCTCATAACAAGAGAGCGCTTGAAGTTGGTCACTTAGATCATAGTGATATCTCCAATACTGGCACATACGCCTCACTCGACGCAGTTGAGAACCAGCAGTTTCCTGATCAGCAAAGATCCAAGTGCAATGCAGCCAGAACAGAAAAGGCCACAGAGGCTAAGCCGTGCTATGCAAGATCGCAAACTGTGCACAGAAAGACTTCAATTCAAAGGGGTGCCTGTAGCAGAGGCATATCTCCTGCAGTAGGAAATCCAGGCGAGGATACGGACTATCCAAGAAATGAAATGAGGGGCGTTGTACCCATGGCTGGAAATTCTTTAATAGCAAATCAATGTAGTGCGGGCTCACAAACGTCTTTCAGAGAGACGTCGCTACAGGGGGGAGTTGCGAAGGATTGCAACGAGTTGGTAGACCGTTCGGCAGCCGCAATCATCAAGAAAGATGAAATGTTAGCCTTTTCTTCCTCTCCGACCACGATCCCAAATGCGAAGAGAAGAACGTGGGAGAAGGAGATTAACAAAGACAACATGTGTACAGGACTTAGCCAAAGTAAAAGCTCCGACGATGAGCATCTCAGCCCTCATAGGGAAGTCCATAAATCAAGTTCGCCATGCTTATCTGCTTCCGATGATCCGTTCTTGTACAACGTATTGCGAAAGGCAACCAGGCTGGGAAGTCCTAGGCCGCGGATGTGCAGAGGAGTTGATGTCGTTAATTCAACTCGAGCCAGGACGAAGATGCACTTCAGAAGCAAACCAAGGGAAGTTGGCATTGAAGTCTCTAAGAAGCCTGAGAGGCAGCCAAAATGTTTGGTTGATGAGACTTCAAAGAACAACAATTCCTGTTCAAAATCTCCAAAGATACATAGCAGCTACACCTCTTCAGAAAGGCCTGCGAAAGAACTCAAGTCACTCTCCCATTACTTTGAGACCAGGGAGAGAACTTCATCCGTTATCAAGCTTATGAGTGAAACGCCATCCATAGAAGAAAAACCTAGGCAGCAGTTGATCAGCGTTCAAGCAGACCCTCAAGCACTTAGTGATGCTGCTCTTGCTACTAACCCACCTCGCCCAGAATTCCGATCTTCTGGCAATGACGCTCTTGATGCTTCTTACAGGAAAACTATGGAAGTCCTTGCCAAACTTCCAGTTCGAGGAGTAAGTTAAGTTCACACAACTCCTCAGAGAAATAATTGCAGATGCAGTGATACGTGTAGTGTCAGAAGCAGAGGAACACAGGTTCAGATCCGAATTGGAAGGCAGTAAGCAAGGGCCGAAATTTGACACGAAGAGCTCCATGGCGTGTGCGCTTTCACCCAGGCAAGTCCCCGCACCAAGGGTTGAACATGATGCTCACAATTCATGCTCTATGCACAACACGCACGGTAGAACTGCTGCAATAACCCTAGAGGAGTCCTCAAAGAACAAGTCTTCGAGGCAGAGAAGACCAAATTCCAAGAAACCTCTAGGAAAAAAAAATAGTAGCTCACTGCATTTGATTTCCAGGTATGGATTACTCAGTCCTTGAGTCACGATAAACTAATCCAAATACAATTTAGGAAAAAATGGAATCAATGTTAAAAGAGGATTATTGACCACTCAAAGAAGGTTTAAGACAGCATCTTTACAGGCACTCTGTTGTGACATGCATTAAAAAGAGACTGATTATTCTAAAGGCTCATTATGATAACAGGGCTACTTGTTATCCCATGAGCAAGTACGGTACGATTGAATAACAACCGCTTCAATGTTGTCTGGAAATAAACAGCCAAAGGTCTGACGTTACCTTGAAGATCCCTGATGAGAGGACGATTAAAATTTCTAGGAATTCGAGCAAGGAGTCTTCTCCCAAGCACTGTGCTGAACAATCAAACACGGAGAAAACGTCAATCATATCTCAGCTCTCGGAAAGCTTTTTGTTGGATTCCCGTACTTCACATTCCAGTAGTGGTATCGAATTGGGGTTGACGCGGTCCATTCAGATAGCAACCAAGGCAGATACCACTGCTGTAGCCATTCCAGAACAGCCTTCACACGAAGTCTCAAAAGAATGTCCTTTTGACCAGCCTGGCAAGCCAAAAGATTACAAGAGTAGAGAAGACAGGTGAGTCTAGGTTATTATTCACTTTCTTGTACTGCTCCATGCTTTTAATTCAACGTACTGATCAAAATTATTGTGGCTCTCTTTTGAAATATCAAAGGATATTTTTATTTTTCAATATACTATAACGATGCAGTGTGACCTTTCGTGGTAGGCTGTTGACTCCAGGTCTAACGCAAATGGATCGGGAAAAGTCGCTTCAAGATGCAGTCATGAAAAGCGAACCTCCTATGAACTTGGTTTTACATGAATGCTCGTAAGTAAACGCAGTCCCTGATTGAGTTAAAGCTCACCATTAGTATTAAGATTCTATATGTCTTCTAGACTGAATTAAACGTACACTTATAAATTAAAGTAAAAGGTACGAGTTGAAAGCAGCCTGTTCAACACTTTGTGTGCAGCACCGAGACAATTACAGCCGTTCCTACCGCCGGATTGCCATTTTATAGCAGCAGAACTGTTGACCCTTCAGTCCTCTTGCAGCCAAGTTTTGAGTTGTATACGATATTTATTTATCTATACACGAAATTCTTACCAAACTTGAATTCAAGCGCAGAGCATCGATTGTAAAACCGAGGACTTCTCATGTTTCATGTGTATAAATATTTCAATTTGCGTCTCACTCTTCTGAAAACCAAGATCTAAGAAATATACATCTTATGTGGAAGACTTTTAATTTCAGTCCGATTTGATATGGATATGTGGGAATATAACCCGATTGCCCGAGGTTAAGAGGGTTGCATTGTATTGACGCAGGCAATGTGGGAGGACCTTCAAGCCCGAGTCATTGCAGGTACATATGCGGGGTTGTCACTCAATCAATAAGTCCAAGTTGTCCTCGCGGAGAAGGAAAGCATCTGTTTAACTTCTAGAAATCAACTCACTCTATGCAAGAATGCCTCCCTCATTGACAACAATTGTTAGTTTTTCCTCTATCTCTGAATTTTGCGTCCAAGTATCTTACAACTTAGAGCTTCATACATGACAGCTCCCAACAAGAGAACAGAATTGTAAGCAGCTGGCTCTTGAGCTGCTCCCACTTTCTCATGAATCGAACCGTGTAGTTCGGATACAGCTCCTTTAATGAAGTTGTCTCGCAAGGTATTCTGTATATAATGGGGCGTAACAGTCGATTGCTTTCCTTGATTTGAAAGGAACGGAAAGCATCTATTATTGCGTATCTGGCTTGTGCGGAAAGTCCATTACTCGTGTCTGTCTTCACTCTTATAATTTCCTCTTCTGCCTAGTGGAGCCAATCGACATTCTGTCATTCCGAACTCTATTTTCTTTTTTATTGTATCTGAAATATAACATTAAAAGGTATTGCTCAAAAGATTGTATATATGTTACATAAAAACTTCAGATTGTCACTTGCACTTCCTGCGGCTAGTTAATCAAAATGAGCACCTTAATAAACTCATGGCGCGCTTCTAAATCCTTCATCTGTGCTGGTGAAGAAACAGCAGCAAGCTGCCCCATCCCCGTGAGAGCGATGCTACTGAAGGAAGCCGACCCATTCTAGACCACTCCCCATTTCCTACTTACTTACTTGTTAAGTTTACAGCGTTTTTTTTTTTTGTTTTTTTTTTTTTTAATTTTATCAAGGAAAAGTGTTGGAGGAGCTGGTTGAATTCCAGTTACCTCATTCACATATCATCCTTAGTTAGCATAAAATTAGGTGAAGCTTGATAGCTAACTAGGTGTCACACTTCTTGATTATGGGAAAGGAAGATTTTCAAATTTTGTAACCCATCACTGATCAGAATTAGGATGACTTGAATGTTAGATTTGGGTGAAAGATCCTTCTAAAAACCTCTTGATTTCTACTTTATTACAGGGCATATTTTTCTTTCATTTTCACACTGACTGCAAATATGCTTAAATGCTTAAGTTATCGGAAATGGGTCAACTGCCTTAATTATTGCGTATACCAAGCACAAACTTGTTGTTAAAGCCTCCAAATCCAGAACTGTTTGGGACAATATCCAGGGAGCTAAATTGTCCATCAATCCCCTTCACTCTCATGCTTCAAGTTTTTCATTTGCAAATGCATGTTATTATCAAATATCACGACAAACTAAAATTCCGGTAAAATGTAGGTCGGTGCTGAATGAGCAGGGTAGTACACCATTTGCAATTTCTCAGTTCCACCGTATACGTAATAGTATAAAAAGAGCTTGACGCCTATAGAGCATATTGTCATTGACATACCACATCCAGACTTTTACCAATGAAGGCATGCCATCAGTGAGCAGAGTTGTCCGTATGTCTACAAGAGTGTCAAAAATCAAACCTTAGCTTCACAGCTAAGGTTGTGTAAGACTATGTAAGCCATGCAAAAGGTTTCAACTATCCACAGAGTTGTATAAGAGACAATCTGGACAGTTCAACTGCATATCTCCAAAATAGACATCGACTAAACTAGCAAGATTAGCCAATACACAAGGTCAAGGACAATGTCTTCTTAGTTGAAGAGTTTAGAATTTCTTAAGTGAACTTTAAGCTGGCAATAATCCAGCGAACAACCGTTTCTCTGGAACTCTGGTTGGCAGAGACCAGGAATGTTAAAAGATAACACCCATGACTTAATTGATGGATTCAGGTACGCACAGATTTTACACTTTCTCAGACCCGATACTTTTGTAAGATAACCTGAAGCTCCTAGAGTACTACCGAAAGAACTTTAAGAAGGCAGCAAGTTATAACAGTCACCAGTGGGATCTTTCAGATTAAAATTTGTCGGTATTGCGTATCCACTTCGTGGCGACCCATTTTTCGCCTTTGATAACTGGACAGCTTCCATGCAATGCGGTCTGTTGTTGGGAAGACATTAGAACAAGAAGGTTTGCACGTTCATCGCCAAGCATAACCAAAGCACAAACAACTGATGTAAGGAGGGTGTTAAGAAATAATTTTCTTTATGTTATGTCGAAAGAAACCGAAAATTCATTTGGTTGAATCAAACGAGGGTTTCTCTTTTATGAACTCGAACACAGAAGCATCATTCGACTCCCTTGTAACATAGTATTCATACGAACAACTGAAAGGAAGACTCCAAGCAGACCAGCTGGCATCACAATTTGAGTAAGTTCGATGAGCTTCATTGAATAAAAGAGAAAGAATTGCTAAATTTCATCATAGAACTGAAGCCAAAGAAAAGGACCTTTACCTTGTCAAATGTACCGTTAGGATGCATTGAATAGAAAAGAAGAGCATCGCCTTGGCGGGGTTTCACTTTCAACCCAATACAGTCCTTATAATTATAGCCTGTGTTCATATTTTGAAAGTTCTGTTGCATTCATGACTATATATTAGATGAGCGTATTGAAACTTGCTAAATTAGAAAGTCTAGAAAGTAAGACGAAATACCTCAACCAACGCTAGAAAAGATTGAATCAGATAACCTGGAAAAACTTACTTCGAAGGGAAACATCGTTTCTCCGCCCTCTTCGACGTCTGATAAATAAAGGAGAAAGGAAGCCATCTGAGCAAGACAAGAAAAACTATAACCAATGAGGGATGGCCTGAAGGATAGCTGAATAAGACTTAAATTGATACATTTCACTGGACGTATTAAGGCTGGCAAATCTAAGATCATGCACAGTTAAAATATGTAAACATCGACAGTTGTTCGTGGAGGATATATTCACCATATTCTCTCAATCAGTAACAAAATGTTACGAGACAGTTGTTTCAGAACACAGGGATCAGCAAAATAGATCACATCAACTACCCACATCAAGTCTCAAAACCTACATGAGAGTGTAAAAGGATTACCCGCTGGCTTGGTTGAGGACCATACTCAGCTGGATCAAAAACATCATAGTGACAATCGTATTTTTGACCTGGGTTGTACCGCAACACATTAAAAGCCTGTAGCAGCCACAAATTCGATCCAATGAAGATGAGAAGGGAAAAGAAAATTTTAACATTTTAAGGACGTTCACCAGTACATGACATGGTAAACAAATAGTCTTCAAAGCAAGCAAAAGTCTACGTTATCAACGGAAAGTGATACAAACCTCCCCATTCTGCCGAGGTATCATGGTTGCTCTGGCCATCTTCTCCTCAACCTCCGCTAAACTCTGTGTTTTATCTTCACTGGCTCTCAAGAAAGTTCCAGAACTGCCTCGAAAGCACACCCACCGAAGAAGAACATTAATTCCAAGTAGCAGGCAAGTTGCATTTATCAGACAGTAGAACCGATCTTTCAAAGTCAAGTAAACCCTAACAGGATGTTAAAACTTCCACCCACCTAGTTCTGATTTCTTTCGTTGTGGCTTCACTCTCCCCTTTCCTCAAAGCCAGACCAGAAGGAGCAAGACGTGTCCTCGCAAGCTTGATGATGGCTTCACATTGCTCTTTGCTTGCAAAATTCGGATACAAAAGGGCACGTGGTTTCCAACTTAACACCTGAATCAAAAAAAACATATACCACCACCATCCCACATGTAGACATCAAGCATCTGTGACCAAAGCTTCAGAAGTGATACCTGAAGAACAGCCCGAGAAGAAAAGAACACACGCTACACGAGTAATTCGTAGAAAGAACAAAAATGTTCATACCGAAGACAAGAAAACACACGGGTTATCTGCCACTTATAAGAGTCATCAAACTGTAAAATACCTGGAAAGGAATGTCAGTAACAGAACTGTCTCCAGTACGGCCATGTTCGAACACAAGTTTCTCATTGGTGACGGGGTCAATCACCACATGTTTTTCTTCCTGAAAACAAACGCATGGCTTTACATCCAGTCCGTCTAAAATTCTGAATAGGCTAAGCTCATGGATTCTACAAGAAACCAATGAAAAAAAAAGAACAACAACAACAACAACAACAACAACAACAACAAAGGATTGCGTAGTCTGTATGGGAGAATTTTCAGCAGACCACCAAGAAACATTCTATAAGCAATTACAACAACAAACCGGTACACTAAGCTCTATGCAGAAAGTGCTTTTTCAGTAGAGAGGTTTTCAGAAAAACTGTCAGCTCAATTGAGAGGTAAGTAAACTTGTGTCATTGAATAATTAAACTTGTGCCAATCCAAATTCGTGTCTAGCATATAACATCAAAGAGTAAAAAAATTTCATGTATACGAACTATACCTTGGAGAGGGAATTGGAACCGTAAAAGCCGACCAAGAAGAAGAATGTGCAACACAAGAGCACCAGAGGAAAACCAAGCTTGTATCTTAAAGGGTTTGCACTCCTTGCCCGGACCTTTGGCGTTTTCATGTCTCAACCGTTTATAATCGGTGTCAGCCTTCCTGTTCTTTGCACGCAAGGAGATTAAAATAAGGCACGGACTGCCTGGGAGGCAGTGTCTTCACTCAAGGGTCGGAATATAGAGGGCCTAGCAGACCCTACATTTAGCTACTGAAAATCGATTCAATCCATGTAAATCATTGCAGATAATTGCGCCAAATTGTTATTGAGACTGTCCTTGAAAACAAGATAAGTGACACTTTAAAAAACCGATTCTTTGGAATAATCCTTCTCCGTTTCCAGCCTCAAAAGCTTCCTGGAACCACCAAGCAAGAAACAACTCAGAAAAATGCAGCTAGGAAGTCACGCGATGGAGCTATGGCAAGCTGTCTCACACATGTCAAAATTTCGATCTCACACGAACACAAAAATATTGATCGGCGACGTAAAAGTCCGCTAAGAAATGAACACAACCAGTGTGAAAAATTGAACACAAGTGGCACAAAATCGATATCCCTCAATTGAAGCTAAAAACACACACCACCGATCTCCAGTGCAGAGGGAAGAAAAATTTGAAACCCACTCTCAAAGCTCTCTCACTATATGACATGATGACACGATTGAAGAAAAGAGAAGATACAACAGAATGAAGCAGTGAAAGTGTTATTGCCCATTGCTTAATACCCATGAGAAGATTTCCTCCATTCAAATTACCGACTAATCACAAACCACTGGCCCTTTACCCACTACCCTGTTTCCTCTATTCCAAACCCCTAAACGAAGATTAATCTCTACAATGCATGTCCACCACCAACTGCAACACAAGCAGCAAAAAAAACACAGCAATCGTAGAGGGCTAGAAGTAGCTTGATAGCCATAATGCTCCTCGCCGACGGAGAGCATTCTCCCGCAGTTAACTAAGTTCCACTTAGACTACAACCCACATACTTCAATTCCAACACAGCTCGGCAAGGGAGCGATTGCGTACTAACAAGACCGACTCCGCATGAACAAAGACAACCCTTAAGCCTCTTCAATCCCCTCAGGAAGGGGGATGGGGGCTCCGCGTCTAACATGAAATCGATCGATCGCAACAAAAGCTTCAAGCAAACTTTCACTTCTCACCGTGAAAACTCTGTCAGGAGCGATTTCCGAGTCGGAGAAGGAAACCCACAAGCTCAATCCACACGAAACCCCAACAAATGGATCCACTGATGAACCAAATGCCTCGAGGTTGATGAATTTGTGTAACCTGCAGAGATGGCGTTGAGATGAAAGTTCATGGAATCAAGCACCGAGCGCAGGAGCGAGACGACGGTGCCAAATCGTCGTTTAGAGCTCCGCCCTCGGCACCCAGAGAGCTAAAAAGTTAAACATAAAAGCACAATGAGGACGGAAACATTTAGATAAGGACGAAAATGTTTGGATGGTGACGGAAAAGTAAACGTGCCTGGCTCTCAGGGGGCTTTTCTGATTTTCTTCCCAGTGATACGTTCTCTTTTTTTTGTATCAGAGTGTGAATTAATTTTATGGTATGGAAATTTCATTTTACGTTTTATGTTTTATGTTTTATGTTCTTTTTTCTTCTTTTTTTTCAATATCTTTATGAATCTATGTTAGTTTGTGAATTAAAAATTTTCAATTTGAATACTTTGTAATGCAATTCAAATGAGATTCTAAAAATAATCAAAATAGATATGTTTGTTATTTTATTTATGGAAAATATGGATAATAATTAAGGATGTAACACGATTCATACAATCTTTAACGTTAAATTGTAAATAAAAATACATTTTTGAAGAATGAAAATCTAGGAAAATTTCTAGTAATGTAAATGAAGTGATTTATCAATTGTAGGTCATTTCTACGTGCAGTTGAAGTTTAATATTGCAGATAATTAAATACCACCCAAAAAATTGTAAACTTCAGATGTTATTTTAGTTAAAAACAGATGAAGAAATAAAAATAATTTTTGATATAATTTTGTTCTCATTTTTAAATATCAAAAAAGGAAAAAAGAATTGTGTGAAATTTAACTAATTCAACCTTCACTTGATATATATATATATATATATACATACATACATACATATACATACATGGTGTTGCTAATGCCACCATAGTTCATGCTATTGTCACCACTACCAACTAAACAAAAAACATTTAGTTCTATATTATTTTAATATACATATATATTTTTAAAACTTTCAGCATATTTTATTCAATCTACATAAATTAAATAATTTAAAATCTATATATTTATATTTTTAAAATTTGTCAAGTTGGTGGTTGATTGTGATGACATTAGCAATAATATATATATATATATATAGAGAGAGAGAGAGAGAGAGAGAGAGATAAACATGAATTATTACTGTTATTTATTTAATTAACTTGTAAGCTTCTTAATGAACTGTGTAACTCATGCTCAATTCAACAAAAAGAGATAATTTGAGTTGAGTATGAACCAGCAAGACTGAAGTAGATTAGGTCATTTCCGAGCAAACCATGTTACATTATTTTAAAGGATTTGACTTGAGTGAATGTTGAGCATGGTTGACAAATAAAATTTGTAGAAAAGGATGAAAAAGTATATAAAACACTCACTAAGAGTTACCTCAACAAAAACTTGTTATTATGGATGTAAAATTTCCTTTTTAGAAGTGCTGCAGGACCAAGTCAGGTTCACTTAAAAAATTAAAAAGTTGGTTAACATTATTTGTCGAGAATTTTACATAAACTTTGTTAGAACTATTTTAAAGTAGCAGAAAAATAAGGATTAATACAACGCTGTCAATTTTACTACTGATTTTCTAAAAGTTGAAACTTTCCGGCCTTTTGATATCCTGGCATGAAAATGTTAACGTCTCAACATAATTAGTCTTCTCGACATAAATTTGTGTGATAACCTTCCAAGATATTCATAATTTTTTTGTACAACTTCTGTGGGTCATTTAAGAATTTTATCAGATAATGCATCAAATATGAACAAGCTATGATTTTCATAATAACAATGATGGTAATATGAAAAGACTAACACAAGCATGAATGAAGTCCCATCAGAATTACTTATAAATAAAAATATGACAGCGATTTATATAAATGTAATTACAAAATGAAACAATAAGGAGAATTTTGATAATATTTATACAATTTTGTAGAAATAATGATAATGAATATAACTTTGAGTCACAAAATAATCATACAGATATTTTAGTAGGAGTTTAAGAACCTTTCTGTAAGGATTTCAGTAACAAACTATCCAAATTTTTGGTTGATTTTTTTTTAAAAAAAAAAAATTAATTTAAAAATCAATGGAAAGATAAACTTAATATTTGAATGAGCATTTAGTTGTACAAATGTTAGAACTGTGTTCAATAGAGACATTGCACTTTCATTAATAAAACTATAAAATCCATCCTCAAATGTTCAACTGAAATATAAGTGTATGTTTGCAGAAAACATGAAATATAATTCTTAATTAGAAACATAATATATACAGAGAGAGAGAGATATAGATATAAACATAAATATAGACCTTACACAATTGTATTCCCATGTTGTGTAACCACGATTCTCTGTATTAAAACTTAATTTCAAGAAAGTGAAGCGTCGACGGGAACTTGGTCTAGGGGTATGATTCTCGCTTCGGGTGCGAGAGGTCGCGAGTTCGATTCTCGCAGTTCCCCACAAAGCTGTGACTTTTTCTTCTCGAGGCTTCAGATTATTTTTAGTGATAACATGTGCCTGCCAGCCTTCCAGGCGACTTTCAACTGAATTCAGAGTGGCAACACAATCTCCCGTTTGCGGGTTCCACTGTTTGAACGGCTCTTTCAGCTTAAACATTTCAATCAGTGTCATGGAGAGTACTCACAATTTTGCTAAGCATGGAGGAAATCAGGAATGGTTAACTCCACGCCACCAAACATATCTCTCAACTTTATGGAACAAATTGCTTTGGAATATGTACATATGCAAAGTGATTGTCAAGGTACCAAGCTCTAAGCACATGGGTACCAACGAATAAGCATGCATTTTATACATGAGCATAGCAACTATTGTTCTTACACCACAGAATTCAATGGACAATATTATCCAACATTGGGTCCTCCTTTAAAATGGAATAGCTTCTATTAAACATAACAAAAGAAAGCAATACATTGTTTCCTCTATTCTTATACCAAGAAGGAGATGCATCAAAAGACTATAAGATGGGGATGTATTTGAAGGATTGTGTCTTTTTGGTATTCAAACCAATAGACTATTTCCATTTAGATATTTCAAATACTTCCAATAGTAAATAAGATTGTGACTTTTATCTTGGTTTTTCTCAAATAAATTCTTATTTAGTGGATGTTAACATTAGTGTAGTAAGGACTTGTATTTTCATCATCTCTGTTTTGTTTCTTTGTTATTTTTTATGTGTTGCAATTGCATGTAAAAGTTATTGGTTCTTGCTTTGCTTCTCATAACATTGATGGCAATAAGGTTCTGTAATACAACAATGTTGATTATAGTCTGTTGCTTTTCATTTTGATTTATCCATAATCTTAATTTTTCTCATTTTGGTTGTATGTTGAAAATGAGACCTTGTTTGTCAAAGATTGGAATATAATTTATATAGAATTTTAACTAGTTATTTTTAAAAATTTATAGCAATTATCAATTGTGATGGTATTTGGTTTTTTTATGAGATTTGTTTTGCAACTTATTTTGTAGCATAATAATTTAATTGTTCAAATTGAAGATTTTTTTACCACCAAGTCTACTATTAAAGATATTTCTTTTAATAAATTGTCTTATGGTTGGTGCTTTTAATTATTATGAGTATCTCTTATAATTTTAAATGTAATTAAGGAGTAATACACAATGTAATAGTTTTATCAATTTATACTTATTACCATTGTTTATAAAGAATTTTATTATTTTCAAAAACTATAATATATATGTTGATAAAATATCTAATTATTAGAAAATATATTTTATACATATAAATATTTATATAGTTCAAAAAAAATATGAAAAATTTCGTCTTCATAAGTGTAAAATTTTATAAATGTAATGAATATCTATACTAATCAAGTAAGTAGAAATATATTTGTTAGAAAAAATCTCCTTTAAAAAACTTTTAAAAGGTTTTTTAAATACAAGTTAGATCTTTAGACTCCTCTAGATATATCATGTGGCTATTAAAAATTATTCTACAAGTACTACACTTCAAGAAGATTTACTAAAAGCAACCTACAACTTGGATGCCTAAATTGTAAGCCTTATGGTCATAAAAAAGCTTCTACAAGGTATTCTTGGTAATTAGAATATATATATATATATATATATATATCGAATATTGAGCTTATCTTTGATCTTTTCAACATCTTTGTTACATACCAATCTTAGTTTAAAGCCTTCTAGTATTTTTATATTTAGTAATAATAATTTAATTATTTAATATCTTATATTTATCTTTTCTTTAATTTTTTTTTTAATAATACATAAGTATATTGTCTTATAGAGTTTTATTTGGATTAATGTCTTTTATAATAATTAATTTTTTTAGAAGTACCATGATTAGTTTTTTAGTACAAAAATATATTATATAGATGTATGTTAACTTTAGAATTTTAAATTATTTTTTAATAATTAAAAATAACTTTATTAAAAAAATTAGAGTATAATATGATGACTTCTATTACATTGACATATTTTAATATAAATATTAGATTAAAAAAATAAAAATAAAAAACCTAATTTTAAAAAATTAATTAAAAAATTATCATTTGATTTCTAAATTATAGATAAAAAAATAAAAAGAAGTAGAAAACTATTTTTTATGTTGTTTTTTTTTTTTTTTTGTTAAAATAGCTATTATTTACTTTTTAGGATCATAAATAAGACATGTCAAGGCAAATTAAAAAAAAATAAAATACTCTAGACATCTTTAGATGAAAGTAAAGATTAATTTCTAGCAAAAATTAACTAAATAAATATTAGATTGATACCAAAAGAAGATTGGTTGTAAACTAAGATCGATTTAAGACTCTAAGGTATAAAATTGCATGTCCACAAGAAATGAAGAATTTTTAGTTTCACTAATGAATGGAATCAAAAAAATAAAAATTAGAAGGTTTCTACATACATAAAGTTTAAGCAGTTTGAACTTCGAATAATTTAATAAAAGATATGAAAATTTAAGATTAGATTCAAAAGATTCTAGTTTGCTGGTTATTGAAGGTTTTTAAGATCTTTAGCAATCCATTAGTTGGATTGAAGTGAAATTTTGTAAGTTGGTAGTATCTTATATTCTAAAATGTACACAAATTTTGAGAGCTAATTAATAAGGCAAGAAGTAGATATCAATGCTAGGATCTCAAT